CATACCTGAGCTCGAGGTATCCAAAGTTGATAGTGTACTTGGAAGTCCACTCGGCTCAGAGTGTGACATCATAGGACTCTCCTCCTATATCTTCGTGACAATGGTCTCATCTAATGAAGGAATTATTGCCTGGGCTAAGAGGACCAATATCCTCTGATCAAAGGCCGGTTTTAGATGAGTCAGAAACTGCATAGTCCACATCAGTGCAAAAATCATCCCCTTCTTACACCTCAGATCACCATAGCTTGACATAGGTGAGAAGTAATCAAGATATTGCAACAGCCGCCCCAGCTCTATGTAGTACACCTGAATCGATTTATCACTCTGTACCACTACCTCTATGCAACTAGCTCATTGTATGAACCCGACTAAGACCTTCAGAACTTCAGGAACGATCTTCCCCAGAAGATCCAATCCTTGATCTCTCGCACTATCTCCGTCTCCTAACATCTTCAATCACAAGGATAAGTCTAAAGCACACAAAACACACACGACTTCCTGCAAGTTCATGCGATCAGCTTTGCCTTCGAGAGGAAATTTACAACCCCAAAAGAAATGATAAAGAAGATTGTGGAGCTTCATTCAAACCAGTGTTAGCCTTCCGAGGGACGAGCGAAAGCATTTGAAGTGGACGCGAGAGACAATAATCAGAAGGATTCACGCGAAATCAGGGCAACATCTTTGTTTTACATGGATCTAGAACCGCGGAATCGAGCATAGGAATTGAGAGCGTATTCGAGCGACAGTACTTGAAAGGAATAGTGTGATATCCGTGCAGCTGGAACGAACGAAAGCAGCTTGGATAGAGGGAAGGAATTCAGAGTAAACTTGAGCATGCAACAATTTTGAGATTGGGGATTTCTCCCCTCAATGTGTGCTCATACCGCTACCATCGGGTATAGAAGACTAAGATTGAGATATCGATCCGAAAGATGTTAGAGGCCGAGATCATACAACCTAGTGTGAATCCCTTCTCTAGCCCTGTCTTGCTATTTAAGAAGGATGAGAGTTGATGTTTCTATGTGGATTATTGAGCAGTGAATAAAAAAAGTAGTACTTGGCAAATATTTCATCTCGACGACTGATAAGCTACTTGACAAGTTGTTTGGGCAGCAGTATCCTTTCGAATTGACTTGAAGTTAGGGTACCAATAGATCTACGTATGACCATAAGATGCGCACAATACACTATTTCGAACTCATGATGGTCACTATGAATTTGTGATTAAATAGAAAAGGTTGTTAGATAAGGATGCCACATCAGAATCAAACAACTTGATTCAACAGTCATTTCTTTTTTTCACCTTGAGGTCAAGGTGATTTTCTTAGAATGGATTATTGTTACGTCAGTGCCTAAGAACAATCTAATAGTTTATTAGTTATTATTGTGGGTTTAAAATAGGGCTTCCTATGCTTAAGTTTAGGGTATGCTTGAGATTGTGGTCTTGAATTTTAGGTTTAGGATTGTTAGAGATAACCTTCCTCTTGAATTATAAGTGTTAGGAGAGATCGCCTACCTCTCGCACTGTAGGTGTTTATATTTATGTAGAGTTGTGTTGTTGTATTACTAAAGAAAATTATTTTGTTTACCCAAATTTCTGTAGAAAACTTGGTTCCAAATCATATCATATATTTACTATTTGAAGTGGGGCAACCTATTTTGCATCAAGCCTTAAGATAAATAGTATTTTGTTATGGGCCAATTGAATAAGGGGTTCAAAGATATGCTTGCAATTGGCTAACCATTAATTTTGGTGGACAAGGAGAGATGGAAACCTGGATTTATTTTGCCATGCAACCTTATAAGTTTCCTTCTTATGTTCCCTCCTGTAGCCTTGTTTTGCCTTTTTTGTTTCATCTGAGAGTTGCTTTGTAGTATGTGTAGCTTGATATTTGTCTATTGTATGATGCAACCGAATGTGTTTGGGTTAGTTCCTAGTAGCTGACCTAATGTGGTTTGGTTAAGCCTGAAGTAGTTCAATGGTATGTTGTTTCACAACATGGAGATGAATTCAAAATAACGAAAACATACTGAGCTTTCTTTTTCATCGCCCAAAGTTAAACGTACAGAAACATGTTTTCATATATCTGATTCTTTTTTGGTGCATTCCGGATTGTTTTCTAATTAAATCTCTACTTTTTTATACTTAAAGAAGCTGTAATATTTTTGATTTATTCGTTTTGCACTAGTGCTAATTTGCTGCCTTTTAATCATTTAGGTGTAAATATGCAGTAGCTTATGTACTGTACATTTCCTTTTCTTTCTTTTAGAAGGGGGTTCTCTTTTTTTTAGCCTATTTGGTCAGAAAAAAGACAACAATAGCACGTCAGACTTTTTATGAGTAAAGTAGTGGATTAATGTTTAAAGATGATGAGAATAAGGAAAGATGGAAGCCATGTGAACTTCTTTTCTTGTGTCGAGGCTTTATGCATAGGCATGCCCAGGACTAGTAATGGACTAGTTTGCTTTAAATTAGGTTTAACTCTTAATCTCTAATGGTATGCTTTGAGATGTCATTGTCTATTCTGCTCGAATGCTTACACTGGGGTTATCAATTGAAAAGCTTATCTTATCTGCTATGGTTGACTTGCTTGTTTTAAGGAATGTCGCTGCCCACCACAAGTCATGAATGTATTGAGAAACAACCATTGAGAGCTTTAAGAACGTATTTTCGAAGAAAGAGCAAAATAATAAAAATTTTTACCATGCTCTAGGTTAATAAGAACTCAAAACTAAGTTCGTCTTAAGCAGATGCATAAAAGAAAAGCATTGTGGTAAAATAAAATATCTAATGGGATATGAACAAGTAAGAAAAATTTAGATTAATGTAAACAAATTTGATATTCACGAAGGTTAAAAAATGTTGAATAATTTGAATAGAAGCATTGAAAATCCTACATTTCATAGTAGTTGGGATACTCGTAGTCAAGATAATTATAGAGGAGAACTATGTTTTAAGTACAACAACAAAAACAAAAAACCTTTATCCCACTAAGTGGGATCAACTACATGAATCCTTTCTCTCAATTGCATCCTATTGAGTGTCATACTTTAATTTAATTCTAATAAATTAAGATCCTTTTTTACACAATATGCCCAAGTCTTTCTAGATCTTCATCTGCTTTCTTAACATAAGACGAATCTAAAACATCTACTCTCCTAATCGGATCATCAACTGGTTGATGTTTGATGTGACCAAACCATCTAGAATGACTCTTTCTTATTTTGTCCGCCACTCCACCACTAGAGCTGCACCAACCCTATCACGGATATATTCATTTCACATTTTGTCTCTAAGTGTAAAGCCAACCATCCACCTAAGCATTCTCGTCTCAGTAACACTTAACTTAGTTTTATGCTTCTCTTGGCCGTCATTCAGTGACATAGAGCATTGCAGGTCTCACCACCATCTTATAAAATTTTCCTTTCAATCTAAGCGGTACTTTTCTATCACACAATAGGCCCGAAGCATTCCTCCACTTCAACCAACCAACTTGAATTCTACTAATAACATCCCCATCTATATCACCATCACTTTGAACAATAGACCCGAGATATTTAAAGCATTCACACCTTTTAATATTTTGATCACCCCATAGTTACAACTCAGTCACTAGAGCTACTACTACTAAAATTACATTTCATGTAGTCAGTTTTAGTTCTACTCAAACAAAGGCCTTTAAACTCCAATGTAGACCTCCATAATTCAAGTTTTTCTTGGGCATTCTCTCTAGTCTAATCCACGAGAAGGATATCATCAGCGAAAAACATACACCAAGGTACATCCTCCTGTAAATGTAGAGTAAGAGCATCCATAACTAAATTAAAAAGATATAGGCTTAAAACCAACCCCTGATATAATCCAACTGAAATGGGAAAATATTTGGTCAATCCTCATCTTGTTTAAACACAAGTAGCAACTCTAGTATACATATCTTTAA